CAGTGGTTCTCAATTCTGAGCTGAGCAGAGACCCTGCTGGGCTGGTTAAACTGACCGATGAGCCCTACTCGTGGCCCATTTGTGGGTGCTCCTGCTGCTGTTGTTGGCCCAGGTTTACACTTGGACCAAATGGTGACAGAGGATTTTGTGGCAGTTGTCTGGGGACATCTTGGTGAGAACATAGTGGGAAAGACTGGAGGAGGGACCCATGGGATGACATGCTCAGGCCTTTGATGGGGGAAATGACCATGGGAACGTATGACAGCCACACAAGGGAGTCTTCACAGAGAGCTTGCGGTCCTTTTGAGCTATCTGACTGCAATGAGCAGAAATGGAGAGACCAGCAAGGGGCCTGACATCTGGATTCAGGAGTTTCACATTTGCAGATGTGGCAGCGAGACTGAGGGTACAGATTGAGAAGGCCCTCATGTCTGTGTGTACTGTGTGGCTGTTGGGAAGGCCTCTGATGTTCTAGTTGGCTCAGTAGGATCTGGCAGGATACCTCTCCTTCGCACCAACCAAACCCCTGCACATACAGAACATAAGGGCAATTTCGACCCCCTACCCTGTACACACTGACATGACGGAGACAGCATAGGCCAGAGACTCCCTACATAGCTCTTGGGGCAACACTGCAATGTTACAGCCTTACAGTCATGGGAAAACCTAGGTTCCAAATCCAGGTGCTTTTAGACATCAAAGTCACGGCCTGAGGTTGCTTCAGTCTCCCCATCCTGTTAAAACCTATCATGGTAGATCTTGTCTATGGCTGTCCATTGAATTTCCTGATGAGCTATCTATCCCCTCCCAGAGTGGGGCCTGGATGTCAAGGCTCTTCATGTAATACTAAGCATAATGTAGCTGGGGGATAACAGCTCCCAGTTAAGGGCTCTGTGAGGTAGCTAGTTTAGTAATATCTAGGCCAGTCCACTCAGTTTCTCTAGGAACTATAATGTGGCAGGCTTGAGAAAATCAGGAAGGATATAGTTCTGATCCTGCCTCAAGTGGAACTGTTTGGTTGTAAAAATGTTTGATAACATGGGGGCAAACATTGGACTGCTGGGAGTGGGGCTTGGAGGAAGGAGTAGAGGGAAGGGGAAGATAAGGAGGACCGGAGACTACTTAAGGGTAAGATTGTGAGTGGGAGACACAAATGACATATACATTCTTTTGACACAAATTCTACATATTCATGGGACAACAGAGCATCTTATTCCCAGGCCTGTGGAGGTAGGGTAAGTGTTAGAATTACCCATGGGGCCTCTAGACCAGTGGTTCTCAACCTGTGGCCTGCTGTCCTTTATGGGGTGGGGCACCAAATGACTCTTTTACAGGGATCACATGTCAGATATCCTGCATATCAGATATTTACATTAGGATTCATAACAGTAACAAGATTACAGTTATGAAGTAGCAACAAAAGTAATGTTATGGTTGGGGGTCACCACTACATGAGAAGCTGTATTAAAGGGTTGGAGTGTTAGGAAGGTTGAGAACCACTGGTCTAAATGATGAAACTGAGACCTGGAGGTAGAGTTCTATGGCTAGCCCACAGGCTGGCAAGTTTATGTAGCTGTTTCTCTCACATACTTGTCCTGGTCATGTCTCTGTTTGAAGGTACGGTCCTGTGAGGACTGAAAGCAGCCAGCTGAAGTACAGCTAACCTGTTCCATCCCTTCAGCACTGTTCTCTTTCTGCCCCAGCTGTATGTGGGACCCCTCTCCCCAAAAACATGCCCTGAAAAAAATCTTTTCACGAAAGTTAGAGATTTTGATTATGCGTGTGAAGGGTTTCCCACCAGACGGGCATCTCTAGCTCTAAAGCCTTGCATCCGAGAGCTGGCTGCTCCACACACTGCATGAGAAGAATAGCTAGCTTTGGCCTCCCACAGTCAGGGTATTTCCAGAAGAACCCAGCCCTGCATTAGAGCTGAGGACCAATTATTACAGAAGGTGTGGTCGGCATTTGAGCCTCTGCACCTGCCCACCCCTTCCCTTCATACTCTCTGGGAAACCTGAGAAAGCAAACTCAAGTTTTCGCTTTCAGGTGGAGAGAGGGAGGGGGAGAGGGAGGGGGAGGGGGAGGGAGGAGGGGGAGGGGGGAGCGGGAGAGAGAGAGAGAGAGGAGAAGGGAGAGAAGCTAGGCTCTCCTGCAGGTCACACAGTGCCACGCTGAGACGGTCGTGTTTAGGGAGTAAAGTCTGTGAGTTGATCTTGGCAAAGGTTCTTATAAAATCAGAACCTTGAACTCTGCTTAGAACTGGAAGTATGGTCTCACACTGCATGTTGGGAAGGATTCGGGGTTGTAGGTGCTCTGAGGAGCTGATCTGATCTACTCTTTCCATGTAGAACCTAACAATCTTATTTGGTTTAAAGAAGATGGTCACCAGCTTGAGATAAGCTACAGTGTTGTTCAGGAGATAGTATTGTTAAATTGCCCTCAGACCAGCACTGTCTGTCACTGTTGGGGGACTTGTTAGAAGGGCACATTGTTGAACCTAACCCAAGGTTTCCAGGGGATTCTGCTACATAGGGCTTGAACCCCTGGGTCAGTATGATGTAGTTTTTTTCTTTGTGAGAACTATGAGCACATGCTTTGGGGGTCAGAGGTCAACCCTGGCTATCCTTAGATACTGCATACCTTGCTTTTTTAAATGAGACCTGGTTCCTCTTTGGCCTGAAACAAGTAGGCTCCACTGACTGACTAGTAAGCCCCAGGGTCCCTCCTGTCTCTGCTTCTCTAGTGTTGGGATTGTAAGCACATGCGTCATGCCTGGCTGCCATGCTTCTGTGGCAAGCTCTTTACCTACCATGGCTTTAGACATGCAAGGAGGTGAGGATGAATATGTGTATGCTTGACCCCCTAAGGTGGGTCTGCCCAGTCTGAACCTGTGCTGGGCGAGGCAGGCCTGAGCTGTGTGGCTCAGGAGAGGGGATGCTGCAAGGGTCAGCGTTCAGAGTGGGACATTTCAGCTTTGGAAGCTTCAGCATCTTGTGGGAGGTTTGCTTTGTTTTGTTGTTTGCATATAAGGAAGGGCAGTCTCAGAAGGCATCTCAGGGATGGCAGGGAGGGCCAGCTGCTTCAACACAGTCAGCGGACTGTGTTTTTCAAGGAAAGTCCTCTATATACCTCCATTAATATTTACACTATTAAAATGACAAATTAACCTGGGTGTGTTAGTATACATTTTTAATCCCAGCACTCTGGAGATGTCTGTGAGTTCTAGGCTAGCCAGGGAGACTCTGTCTCAAAAAGAGAAAAAAAATTGACAAGTTAAAAATACTAGTTTGTAAGTTTTTCGTTTGATTCATAAATCTTATTAGGTAGCAAGTATTTATACTCACTGTTAAGAGGATTATGATTTATCTTTAGGCTGGTTTACAAATGTGATTTTTCACTTTAAATATTCAGGGCTGTCTTAGAAATTTAATATTCAATTTTGTTTTCAAGTTCTCTTGGCTATCTGGAATCAAGCCTTTCACTAGAGTTTGAGATTATATAAACCTTTCTTCTAAGCCTGACAATCTTGCCTTATAAATACAGGAAGGCCTGAGGTCTTTTTACACACCTTGATACTGTTTCTAAGATGGCCATTTAAAATTAGAATACAAAAATAAAATCCTCAGACACTCTCTAGGTTTCTCTTAAAAGTTTGGGGTAGAAATTTGTAAGTCATCCTCTACCCCCTAGTAGTTAATACTACACGTGGGACTGGTTCCTTTGTCCTGGTGTTTCATTTTAATTATCCTCAAAGAAGGACAAGGTACATGTTCCCATTAGGGTATAATGCTCTGGCCCAGCAGTTTGAAAGGGGCTTCCACAGTAGATCAACACACTTGCTTTGTACTTTGGAGATAGGTTCTCATTTATCTCAGGCTAGGCTCAAACTCTTAATCCTTCTGCCTCAGTCTCTCAAGAGCTGGGATTATGGGTGTGTACCACCACACCTAGCTCAAATAGAGCACTGAGATTTACTTAATGTGTATGGCTGTTTTGTTTGCATGTATGTCTATACCCCATGTGCATAGTACTCAAGGAGGCCAGAAAAGGGGGTTAGATCCCCTGGAATGGGAGGTAACAGTTGTGCGCCACCGCATGGGTGCTGGGAGCCAGACCCAGGTCCTCTGCAAGAGCAACTGCCCATAACTCCTTAGCTGAGGAAGCCACCTTACTAGCACCTCAGGTGGACTTATAAGGGGGTGCTTTTTAGGGCTTTAAATATAGCTCAGTTGTAGAGTACTTGACTAGCACATGACAGTTCATGACAGGGACTAGATTCAACCCCAGCATATCTCTCTGTCTCTCTCTTTCTCTCTCAATCTCTCTCTCTCTCTCTCTCTCTCTCTCTCTCTCTCTCT